CCTTTAAACAAATTGAATTGGTCGAGTCATACAATTAAATTTAAAATTTTATATTTTATAATTTAAATTTTAAATATTAATATTTAAAATTATTTTTTTTCGTACATCAGATTATGATATCATTTATAAAAAATATATATATGTTAGCTTAGATGCTTATTGTTTTTAATCAACCAAATCCAAATGACTCATTTTATATAATTAATTAAGTTAAGGTTTGCATTTAAAAAATTAGAAATTATATATTATGTAGGGTGTTTTGAATATTTTATTTAACCAAAGCGCAACAACCCAATGATTTAACCAAGCCTTGGGTTTTGAATCATTGATTTCATCTAACAAACTAATTGTACTTAAAAGAGTTTAGTTAAGGCTTTTCATACTCATCTAGCAAATATAGGGCTTTCATTGTTGGGACTTAGAGAAGAATTAATATTTTAATTATTTAACCAAATTAGTGTAGGTCAAAATAGTCTTTCGTAGGGTTACCTCCAATTAAGGTTTTCTTAAGTGGAAAACTTAGTTTAATTTAGGTCCAAATTTAAAAGATTTCCTTTTTATTTTATCAAATCTTAAAAAAAAAAGGGGCTTTTTGCATGAATGAATATTTTAAGACTTATTATTTATTTTAAAAATTTAAAATAAAATTACTTATAAACTCACTTTTGCCTTGATAATAAATTCATAATAATTAAAATTTTTATCTTAAATTTTAAATTTCATAAGTTTATTACAATAAATTTAATTAATAAAATCAAATTTAACTCTAGTGGCAATGCCAAATATCAAAACCAATGTTTTCAAAGTCATTCAAACTATATTTTTATTATTAAAAAAAAAAAAAAGAAAGAAAAGAGAATAGCTTAAGGCGAGTTGAATTTTAACAAAGCCCATCTTGTTTGGGCCTTTGGGCCTATAAATGTGTTAAGTGCAGTGATAGTATGTGGTCGGGCTTTACGCCTGTAACTGCCATTCAAAAAAGAAGCCGATGCTTTGCCGACAATGATTCTTTGAGACGCCATCCTTTCTACATCATTCGATTCTGTTGTTAAAAAAAAAAAAAAATTCTATATATAGAGTGAGACTGATTTTTTTTCCAATAAAAAAAAAGGGTTTCAAGGAAATAAAAGATGGGAGATTATCTAAAATAAAGTGGGTGAAGTTTTTAAATATTATCACATATCATTAATGTAGAATATATTTTTAAAGAAATTAATAAATTAATATAATTTAAAGAAATACAAAATAATTTTTAATTTCATTTATAAAATTTAAAAACTCGGCTTTAAAGTATAAAAAATAGGTTAAATTCTCAAATTAAATATTTAACAGTATTATTATTAATATAAGGCCCAACGAACTCCTCTATTACTATTAGCCCAAAAGAGAAAAACATTCCTCCTTAATTATTCTTTTGAAGGACCCAAGTGGCCTAACTTAATAATTTAATTAAAAATCCTTGCGTAATTAATCCACTGAATTTTTATGCAAATACACAGTGTATTACTAAAAAAAATTTGTCAATTAAAAAGTAAAAAAACCATTACTTTCAAAAAGTCTTTTTTCTAATCGAGGGGGGTGAAGATTAATGTTATTTTCTATAATTTCAGGACTAAATTAAAATGTTTTAAAATTTGAGAACCATGAGAGCTATTTACCCTAAAAAGGGCATTCGGTTTATTTATGGGCACCGCTATAAGGGAACAAAAAAAGCATGGGTCCAAAACCAAACAAAATCCCGACGGCCACCTGCGACACCGCACGAAGCATTAGTGAAGGGAAGCTGAGCTCATTGAGCCCCGAATTGGAATTGGATTGGCCCAACATCGAAGATTATCTCCCTTTCGGATCCTCCATTCAAGAACTCCGCGGCAAGCTTCGCCCGTAATTTCACTTCCCCACTCTTTTCTTTCGATTTTTTTTCAAAAAAATCAGTTAATTATTGATTATTGTTTTTGAATTGGTTTCAGACGGGATTTACTTGATATTTCTCCCCCTTTAACTGACACTGCTGGTGCCATTGTTGATGTAAGCTCTCTCTCTCATTGTAAAAGTTCTGCTAATTTTTAATAAAACAAAAAATGATTGGCTTGTTCTTGTTTACCCTAAAGTTTTGATCTTGAGTAGAGGTGTCTGGTGAAAATTTTTCAAGATTCACTCACATGGTGTTTTAAGTCGAATTCTCCTGAACCATGGAACTGGAATGTATATTTGTTTCCTCTTTGGTGTTTTTGGTGCGGCAGTTCGGTACTTGATTTTATTTCCTGTGAGGTTAGCCATTGTACTTCTCAAAATTAACATTGAATTGTTTGATGCGTGATGGGTTATGTTTGAATGAAGTTTGCTTATGTCATTTTTAGAGTTTAGTTAGGTAGTGTATAATTTGTTGAAATACTTGCTTTGTTTCTGAGTTTCTATTGTGCTGTTAAATCTGCAGGGTTATGGTTTTCACTATAGGATGGATAATATTTCCGTCGTCCTTCATTCCTGTACGCTTTCTACTTAAAGGGCACGATAAGTTGTAAAAGATGGAGGTGTGAGCTTTTATGCACTTCTAGTTTGTGCAGTTTTTATGTCTCTATGTATATGTATGCGTGTATGTGTTTGTGTGTGTGTAGTGTTGGTGGTTTCACACCATACTTATGAGGGAAGAAAAAGTTTATCTAAAATGGCAACTTTTGGCATTCTCTCTTTGGGATTTCCTATTTTCTGCTAGCAAGCTTGTGCTACCTGTATTCTAGCACATTTACCACATGCAAAGTTTATTCCTAGACTTAGTTAGTTCATCATCTTTTCTTTTCATTGTGTTTTGGTGGAGCTAATCTGCAGCTTCTTTGTTGCGTCCTGGAACCACTGTAGCATTCGGGTTTAGCTGACTATTCTTTCTGCATTTTATATTCTTCCTAGTTTCGTTGTCAGTATATCTAAGATTTTTATTTTTTATATTTTATTTCATAAGGTTCTGATCTGACTTTTATGTTGTCTTTGAAAATTAAAAGATATCTGAGCATTCGTTCCATGGTTTGAACAGGTGTTTGTGGCCAATCATACTTCTTTGATCGATTTCATCATATTAGAACAGATGATTGCATTTGCTATCATTCTGCAGAAGCAACCTGGATGGGTTGGTAAGTAGTACTGCGGACGCTAGCCCTAGCGCTAAAAAGGTTCAAGCAGGTCTTGAAAAGGTTGTATGGGACGGATATTTGAAACTCTCTCGCCCTAGCCCTAGGCATAGAGAGCGAAAGTAAGACAAACCTATGCTATTCCTTTACCCCTTTTCCTGGTTATGATAACATCTCATATCTTTGGAACTTCATTTGTGGTTTATGGTAGATGGCAATCACTAATATTGAATTTTCCCACCATGTGTAATACTTTTAAGTACATAAACGCATGGGGCATCTTAAATGGTAGCTGCAGCTATGGGTTCATGCTCAGTAGCTTGTGGTCTTGTTTTTAATACCACAAAGATATAGCTTTTGATGTCAATGCATCAACAAATTCCCATCTAAAGCAATTTATCCATTCGCTTGCAACTAGGTCCCTTGTCCCTGTTAACTTACCCTTTAACAGGATTTTCTAGTCCTTGACTTACACAAGATAGGGACACCAATTTTGAGTAACTTTTGTGTATAATAAGATTATATTGTTAGATTTTTTATTTGTTTTGACTATTACATTTGTGATTCTGTCATTTTATTTCTTTAATGTGAATTGAGCTGCCAAGTATCCAACACTTAAAGTCTTGGGCTGATTTATAACAAGCTGTTCATTTTTTACTTTTATGCTTGGAATCCGCTGATCTGGCTCTGGAACTAAGAATAGTAATCTAAATGGTCGTCTATTCCCCACTTGCAGACAACCAATGCTTTAGTTGAATCCGTTTCTTGGTGACCGGAAGAAAACTGCATAACCATAATGTACATTTGTTTAGTCTTGTTTAGTTTTCTTTATCATGATAATGAGGCATGTTCTGCACCACTTGATTCTCAGTTTATGGCATGCTGATTTTATTAATATTAGAATTAAGTTGGTTTGGTGCTGTCGTATTGGAAACAAGAGCCTCTTTAAAAATTTGCATTGTACTAGTTTCAGGTTGAGTTTCTTTTTCAAATAGAATAAGAAAGGCTATCTACAATTTTTGTCTAGAACTCGGTCTTTGGTTTTCTGGACTCATCTGGTTGATCCTTGGAATGGTATTGTAGCTATTTTTTTTCAACTTTATTTTTAATGGCACTAATCAATTGATGATTTAATCATAGTTACTTCAAAATTTATTGTTTGGCCTCGATGCATGATATATAGCTAGAATCAGAATGAACGAGTTGACTGGTTAGCTGACGACAATGGCGTAAAGACTCCGCTGGTCTGCCCCACTTACATCTTTTTCCGATATATAACGATTTGAAAGCTGCACGACAATAAAGAAAACCAATCTAAGAAAAGTTCGTCATTCACATGTTTGGATCAATCTCTCTGTTTGTATCAATTATTCATTTAAAATATGCAACCGTTGAAGTCAATTAGCCATTTTGGTTTCTTGTTGGAGCACCGCTGGTTGTGGTATTTGTCTTGATGAGAAAATTGTGGTCATTTTGGCCCCATTATCCTGCAAATGATGCCGGGATTGACTCAAATCATTCGTCAACCATTCAGATTTATCTTCTCCTTAAAATAAAACAAGTAGACTCCTATAATTCAGAACCCGGAATTCAATCATCGTTCATCAATTATGACAGATAAGAAAACCCAAGTTGCAGATGAAGGTAGAATCTAAAACAGTAGTAGAACAAGTTTTCATCAAGGCAAAGCTCACATTCACACAATTGCTATATGTGAACGCGGAGAAGACAAAATTTGCCTCAAACGTGTCCAACCAAAACAAGACTAATAATACTCAAATGTCTGGCAGTCAAAATACTCAAATGTCTCCTTTAAAACTCAAACCAGATCCCAACATTTTCTTCTCTCCCACACCTCCGTTTTTCCACACTTCCAGCTTCCCTCCTGATGCAAAGCAACCCTGCCTAACCTAACTGACCCCACTAACAAAGAACAAGAAGAAGCTGCAAAAAGAAAGAAACATGGGTTTTGCTAAACTGTTTTTTCTCCTACCAGTTTTGCTCTCAGTTCTCACCCTGGAGTACAGCGCTGCTCAAGGCTTCAAATGTAGCTCTCCAAAAACATGTCGTGCCCTGGTTGGCTACATCACTGTCAACAACACCAACATCAGCGCCATTCAATCTCTTTTCAACGTCAAGCGCCTCAGGAGTCTCCTCGGAGCCAACAACTTGCCTCTTAACACTCGACGCAACCACACCATACCTGCAGAACAAGTCATCAGAGTCCCCATCAATTGTGTTTGCTACAACAACACTGGAACTTCCAACGATGGCACTATCTACACGGTTCAGCCAGACGACGGTCTATACCACATAGCAGCTGAGGTATTCTCGCGGTTAGTACTGTACCCGCAAATTGCAGCATTCAATGGGATTCCAAATCCGAATGTGATAGCGATAGGGCAGAAGCTGAAAATCCCGTTGCCCTGTAGCTGTGATGACGTCGGCGGCGAGAAAGTGGTGCATTACGCACAGGTCGTGCGGTCAGAGAGTACTTTGGGGGAGATTGCTCAGGAGTTTGGAACTAACGAGTCGACTCTGGCTAGGATTAATGGGATCAAAGCTGAAAAAGACTCAATAGCTGGCCAACCGATTGACGTTCCCCTCAGAGGTATAGTAACTTTCGTTTTACCCCTCTGCTAAAAGCTGGGTAGGTCTTGATATGTAGACGGTGTATCAATTTGGTCCACGCCGCGTCAATTGTACTTGGCACAAATAGGTAAGTCTATATATATATATATATTATTTTACATTTTTATTTTATATTTATTTTATTATTTATTATTATTATTATTATTATATATTTTTTCCTTTTATTATTTTTTTATCTTGAGTATTTATGTATCTATTAATATATATATATATTTTTATTATTATTATTTTTTTCTTCTTTTTTTCTTATTAATATTTATGTATTATCTGTTATTTAATTTTAATTTATCTGTTAATTTTTTTAGTTTATCTGATTTATTTTCATTTGATTTTTTTTATTTTTTTTATTTATTTGGCTGAAAATTAGATTGAGATTCAATCAGAAGAGTCCATGTTGGATTCAATGATTGAATCCCGATCCAAAGAGGCCCTATAAAAGGGACCCTCTGAAACATAAGCAAGACACAGAAAAACAGTGAGCAAAAGCTACTGATTGAGAGAAAAATGGCGAATAGAAAATTATAGAAGGCTAAGAAAAGATTTAAAAGTGTTTTAGGAACTAGCAGAAATTTTTTGGAGATTTTTGAAGATTTTTTTTTTGGGAATTTCTGGAAAATTCCATATTTCGATTAAATTTTTCGACGAAAGTTAAATTTTCTGGTGAAAATTCCAGCCAAGTTTGAAGTTTTCGGCCAGCTGCCCAATTTTCGGTGAAGGATCCCAGAAATCGACCAACTTTTCGGTGACCTTCCCACAAAAAACCCAGATTTCGACGAAAAATTTTAGAATCCGGTGAATATTTAACTGGAGTTCTTCGACCTTTTTAGAGAGAAGCGAGAGAAAAAAAAAGGAAGAGAAAGAGAGAGGAGAAGCTTTCTGCCGAAAAACGAAAGAAATAGCCTTATATACCCTCTCAAAACGACACTGTTTTTGCCTTAAGTGACCCAGATGATCCATGCGTTTTGTCGAGATCCGACCCGACCCAAGCGTTGACCCGCTTCTTGACCCACGCGTGTTTTACCTCCCCGAGCTGTTAGCCGAGTCGAACCGAGCCGTACTCCGAGCTGCTCCAAGTTTTTTTTTTGAATTTATTTATTTATTTTTATTTTTTTATTTATTAGATTAGGTTTATTTAATATTCTTTTATCTTTATTTTATTTTTATTTTTGTTTTACTTTTCTTTATTTTTTATATTTTTTATTTATTTATCTTCGCTTTTATTTTGTTTTATTATTCTATTTTCTTTAAATAAAAAAAATATTTTTGGGAAAAGTTGAAAGTATCAATTTTTCTTAAAAATAAAATTTTAAAAAAGAGTTTTTGAGGGAAAGTGAAAGTATCAATTTTTTAAAATTTAAAGGTTTGGGAAAGGAATAATCCTGAAAAAGTTTTCAAAAATATTTTGGGAAAAAGTTGAAAGTATCAATTTTCCCTGCACAAAAACAATCATTCTTTTCTTCCTTTTTATTTGATTTTTGATTTTTGATTTTTCTTTAAATAATCCAACGATGAGCCTCTGCAAGTGAAACAGTAGTTTTTCTTGCATACTCTTGAGGTGAGAGAATTTTTCTCAATTTTTTGCTAAAAGTATTAGAGTCAATTGAAAATAATTTTCAATAACTAATTACTTGATAAAATTTTAAAGCTCATTGGATAACATAAATTTAAGCTGGTACCATCTTTTGATGGGCGTTGTGAGGGTGCTATAACCTTCTTCACACGTAACCGAACTCCCGAACCCTGTTCTGGTTAGTAGACCTGGATCTATTCTTTTAGGGACCCTTAAACTTAAGTATTCCCTGAAAGGACAGATTTCTTAGGTTGTCAATCGCACTTAGATAAAAAAGATTGGTGGCGACTCCCTTAAGTTAATGTTTAGCGATAGATCCTCAGATCTAGACGTTATGACAGCTTGGTGACTCCACTGGAGACTTTAAGAGTCAGGCCAGCAAATAATCTATGTTATCCAAAAGCCTAATAAAATTGAACCTTTTTGTATATATGTGTTATTATTCATTCATGTTTATTTGCTTTGTTAATTATGTCATTCATACGCATGTACATAACATGAGCTCTACACCAGAGCTTCATCCCTCTAGGAGGGAGTAAAGTACCAATTACTTTCGTGAGGTCTAATGCCTCCGTAGTGGCTAGCGAAATACTCCCACTCAAATTGAACATTTTTCGCTTGTAACCTGTAATTGGTGAGGATTAGGGTGCCTTACTAGTTTGTGATGGATAAGGATGTAAGGAACAATTTGAAGACCTTTAGACTTTGACCTTAAAATCGCATATAGTGAACCTTAAGAGTGTCTAAACCTAGGATAGAACTCTTTCTACCCAATGATAGATATATCCTGAAATTAAGACACAAAAAGGGTGTTTATCTAATCATTTTGATTGTTTAACTTTATGCATCATTTTCATTATCATATGTAACATTGTGCATCAGTATCACTTTCATTTCATCCATGAAACTAACTAGGTTATTTGTCTGATTGTATGCATCTGCATTACTTTCATGATCATGTTTTAACACAATCATTTGCATCCATTTCATATTAGATTTCATTCAAAAAAATATACATTTCATTCGTGCATCAAAGCATCATACATAAAGCATAGCATAACATTTTTAATCATAATTATGGTGCTAAAGGTTCAAGGATAGCTTCATCTAGTGAGAACCTTGCCCATCGATATAACACAAGATCTAGAGCAAGACAAATAGAGCAGAAAAATTTTCATAGATTTGAAAAGATAGAAAAAGCATAAGAAAAGATTGAAAGTGAGCTGAGTAAGATTATTGATACTCTTAATAAGCTAAATAAGGGAAAAGGAGTTGAAGAAGATACAAGCCAACAAGTTTCCTCGTTGTAAGAAGTGGCTGACCTTTTATATCATTCAGGTTTTGACCCACCTCAAGCCCAGTCTACTCAAGAGGTTTCACCGTAACACTTCACATATCCAACATATCCTGAAATACCATCAGCTTCCAACCCAGGGCATTATAATAGCTATATAAATCCTGTCTTTACTGAAAAGATAATAAAACCAATTCTTGATCTAGATGGTTTGAAAGATAAGGAGAAAGAAAAGGTAAAAGTAAAAACTCAAGAAAGCTCCAATATTAGTATGTTAGAGCAAAGGCTACAGGCTATGGAAGGATTTAGTTTTTATGGGTCAGTTGATGCTGCTGGACTCTGCCTAGTCCCTGATATGGTTATCCCTCATAAGTTCAAAGTATCAAAATTTAAAAAATATGATGGTACAAAATACCCCAGAACTCACATCACTATATATTATCAGAAGATGGTAGCTCATGCTCATGATGAAAAACTCTTAATGCATGTCTTTCAAGATAGCCTTACTGGCTCTGCGGCCAGATGGTATGTTCAGCTAGACAGAACCCGCATTCGCTCTTGGAGCAATATGGCACATGACTTCATCAGTCAATATCGATATATTATCGATTTGGCCCTTGATCGTTTGTCTTTACAGAATCTGAAAAAAAAAGCAAACGAGTCTTTTAAAGAGTATGCCTAGAGGTAGAGAGATATTGCTTCTCAAGTACAACCTCCTCTGACTGAGAAAGAAACTACAGTGTTATTTATCAGCACTTTGAAGTCTCTTTATTATGAAAAGATGATAGGGAATGTAACAAAAAATTTCGTTGACATGGTGATCTCTGAAAAAATTATTGAAAGTGTCATAAAAAATGACAAGTTGAAAGGAGGAGAAACCAAGAAGGCATCAGAAAAGAAAGAAGCTCAAGCTCAAGCTGTGAGCTTTGATAGACAATAATTCAGGGTTATCAATCCTATCCATCCCAAGGTTACTCTTCATACTATCTTGCTGTGAATAATACCTCATCCTACCCATACCAGCTAGCTCCACAACTGCCTTATTCATCCATATACCGATCAATTTTTAGCCCTCAAGATCTTACATATAGCCTTAACATTCAAGCTCCTGCAAGAACCCAAATTCGCTCTATTAATCAAGCAAGTGGTTCACGAGAACAACGGACTACTCGAGAAAAACTTGTATTTGATCCAATCCCTATGACTTATACAGAGTTATATCGAGAACTCTATAATAACCATTTGATTGCCCCTAGCCATGTGAAGCCGCTTAAACCACCTTATCCAAAGTGGTATAATCTTACAGCCCGCTGTGACTACCATTATGGAATTACTGACCATTCTACTGAAAATTACACTGCTTTAAAGCATAAGGTGCAACGGTTGATCAATGATGGAATGGTAAGTTTTGATCAAGGAAAAGCAACAACACATAATGTTAGCGTTCTGA